TGATAATTTTCATACAAATAAGTACTAGGCATTTAATTGTTCATAACTTATTTTCTTTTCATGTAATTTTTATACTTGCAATTGCACAACGTATTTCATCGAGATAGCAAGATGATTTTTAATTTTTCGTTGGCTTTCAGGCATGGTTGGGATAATTATTCGATGGCCTTGTGATTCATCGGAAGTATTAAAAAGATAGTAATATCTGGACATATATATACCCAAACCCACCAAAGAACCAGTCAAGGTAGAGAAGCATGCTCTCATGGACAGACAATTGATAGTGCTTTCTCCAAACGTTCTTTAATTCTTACAGACAAAAACAAAACCCAAGAAAAGAAGAAATACAAGAAAGCAACAGTACAAAAACAGAATATAGTACTACTGGTATTGCTACTGTGTTACTGCTACACACTAATCTTTATCTTTTTTATGGCCGTCTTTAACTGCTTTAACTTTGTCTGTAAAACCAATTGGCAAAGTGAAAAAGAAAAACTGCAACAAAAGACAGTATTAGTGTTTACCAGATTCAACTTCACACTTTGCTGACCAAAAGGACAGCTGACTCTGTCGTTTTATGCCTTGTGTTCAAGCATAACGACATACCATTTCCCCTAATATGCTGGGCCGGCCTTGGGTTTGGGTCAAAAAGAAACCATAACCTCTCTCACAGACACATTTTTTTGTACGAGAGAGAAGGTGGGCTGTTGTTTTTTGCACTTTATTTTGTTCAAATTCCATACAAGAATTGCATTGTCTTGTTCTTAAGGTGAATTCCTGTCTCACTCTTGGTCATTCACGTTGTGTTTTCTGGGCTTAAACTATTTCTTCTTAAGAAAAGGAATAATTCTGTTCAATGCCCATTTGGAAGTTGATCATTTTAATGCATGAAAGTTAGTGCTTTCCGTCGAAATTTGTGGAATTGTAGTTTGCTTCATCTTGTTGAGCTCAAGATTTTCCGGAAGAGGGAGTGTAGAGAGAGTGGCGCATGAAGGAGTAGTGGAAAAATGAGAGATGAAAATTCCAAGAAAAGCAAGGTTTCTTTCTTGAAAATTTAAATTTATACTTTTTTTTAAAAACCGAAACCACATTGTTAATTCACCATTTTTCCTTTGGTGATGTGAAGTTCTCGTGGTCGAAGAAACTGGTAAGAAAATGGTTCAATAGTAAGAGCAAATGTGGTGAATTTGAGGCCGACGAAGCTGTGTATGCAAGTGAGTATAAAAATTGAATCTTCCTTCAATTTTTTTCTTTCTTTAGCTTTTATTGGATTGCTTGTTGAATTGAGGTTCCGTTTTTAGTACTATTTGTTTATATTTTCATTCTGTCTTCATATTAATAATTATTCTTGTCATGAAGTTAACATTTGGCTGCTGAGGAAATCAAGGAATAACTTTTTCATTTAAAATTTTTATTTCTCTTTCTTTGTCTTTTATTGGAACCAAAGATTTAGGATTATTTCTCAAGATTTTTACGTTCTATGAAATTTTTTCTAATAAAACAAGATTATGAGGAATTTAATTACCAGAACTGAAAAAAACTCAATAAAATTGATGATTGCTTTGAACTTCATGTTGAGATATGAGTTATTAATACTGATGTTGTACACTTCTACTCTAGGGGGTGATTCGGAATGGAGGAATAGCCGCTCCGAGAGGGAACCGTGTACAATCAAGAAAAGTAAAACCGGTACGTTACATCCTACTTTAGAAAGTTTCTTGACCGAACTTGCTTCAGTTTGAAAACCCACTTATTCATCTGTAAATATTTTTGTTAGTTTTGGTCTATTTATATGAATGTCCTGAAACTTCTTCTTTGCTTCAATGACATTAATCTTAATCGTTTAAGTCTTACCGTGCTTGATTGAACAGAAAAAACAATAAACAACATAGAACGATCCTATTCCCGTTCACGATCCCGTCGAGGGAGAGGTTATCTAGATCACCCTCAGATTGTAAATGTCCAGAATTACAGGTTTGTTTCTTTCATAGATGTTCATGTAATAGCCTTCAGATCCTTTTTTTGTTTCTTAGTGCTTCTTGTTCCGTGGAGCAGTGTCTTTGTATCAACATGGAATGTTGGGGGGAAATCGCCGTCAAGCAATATGAATCTAGATGATTGGCTACATTCTCAACCTCCTGCAGATATTTATGTACTAGGGTATACCTTCCATTCTTGATTAATTGTATACTTTGCACTGACTTTGTTACTCCTTTCACTGACAGAAGTACTTTTTTTTTTGCCTTTTAGATTCCAAGAAATAGTTCCTTTGAATCCTGGTAATATTCTTGGTGCTGAAGACAATGGCCCTGCCAAAAAATGGTTAGCTCTTATACAGAGGACGTTAAACAATGCACCTGGAACTAGTGGAGGGCGTGAGTGTTTTACACCATCGCCAATCCCCAATCCAGTTGTGGAATGGAATGCAGATTTTGAGGGATCAACCATGCGGAACACATCTTCCTTCTTGCATCGACGATCGTTTCAAACACCACAATACTGGAGAATGGACAATGACGTTTCAATATCACAACCTCACCCAAATAGTCGACATAGTGTATGTGACCGGGTAATTTTGGGTCATAGGCCTAGTGATATCGATCCAAATATCAGATGGGGTTACAGGCCAAGTGACTGTTCCACTATTCCGAGGCCTAGTGACTTTTCCTCTAGTCGTCGGCCCAGTGATTATTCCTCTGGTCGTCGACCAAGTGACTATTCCTCTGGTCGCCGTCCGAGTGACTATTCCTGGGGTCAGAGACCAAGTGATTTCTCTAGATGGGGTTCAGATGAGGATTATATGCCTGAGGACTCACCTGGAACAGTGTTGAATTCGCCGATGTCCTGCAGTGGATATGCACCAAAGGAAGAGGGATACACATTACCTGGCCATTCTAGGTACTGTTTAGTTGCGAGTAAGCAAATGGTTGGTATATTTCTTACAGTTTGGGTTCGAAGCGAATTAAGGGAGCATGTCCAGAACATGAAAGTATCTTGTGTTGGCAGAGGATTGATGGGATACCTGGGAAATAAGGTAGTTTTCATACAAAAAGAATATTCTTTACGAGTTCCTATACACAGTTGAAAATTTATGACTAAGACGAAGAGCTGTGATTGATTTTTACAGGGATCCATTTCGATTAGTATGTTACTGCATCAAACAAGCCTTTGCTTTGTGTGCAGTCACTTGACTTCAGGTCAGAAGGAGGGCGATGAAATACGTAGAAATGCTGATGTAATGGAGATCCTTAGGAAAACAAGGTTCCCACGAGTAAATAGCATCA